ACGCAGCAAAAGAACTAGCAAGAGCACTGCAGCAGCCAACAACAGCCGATCAATAAAAGCTGAGGCGCCTTCTCAGATACATCAAAGGAACAAAGCACTACAAGCAGATCATCCGACCAACAGTGAAGCTTCCAGCAAAAGCAATCCCTGATCTCAACATTTTTGTGGACAGCGATTGAGCAGGATGCCCAGCAACAAGGAGATCCACAACAGGATTTGTCATTGCGCTTCTTGGAACACCAATCAACTATGGAAGCAACGCAGGCAACAATTGCCCTCTCAAGTGCAGAGGCCGAGCTATATGCCATCAACACAGGCGCAACAGAAGCACTTCACATCAGAAGCCTCTTGATGGAGCTTCTCAATGAACATCCACAAGGTCAACATCAAGATCCACACAGGCTCATCAAGTGGCAAGAGCATGGACACAAGAATTGGAACCTCAAGAAAAGCAAAACGCATTGAACCCAAACATCTTTTCATTCAACAATTGATCTCACACGACTAAGTGAGACTGATCAAAATTCACACAAACGACAACCCAGCATATTGACCAAGTATGTCTCAACAGAGACTCTGCAACGACACCTTCAACAAGCTGGACTTGGCATCCAGCATCTCAACCTTCACTGAAGCCACAAGAAAACAGTTTCACCAGCAGCTTGCAGCAAGCGAGCAGCAACACCAGCACTTACTGCAGCGTGCGTGCACCAAAACATACAAGTTTCACAGTCCTTAGCCATGGGATCAACAACAGTTGATCAACCTTTTGCTGTAACATCCTGGAGTATATCAACATGATATCCCATCACGTATTTCAACACGATTCTCGATATGTACTATCTCAACATGAATGTCGACTACATGGTGAAGTATATGTACACGTCCCACACAACATGTCTGTGATACACAACATGTTCTTTTTGCTGAGCTCGGAATTCAACAGTTTGAAGAATTCAACAGTTTGATTTGTGCAAACTTTGAGAGTCAACATTTTGTTGACAACAGTGAGACTCAACTTTTCTTGTTTACCGCAGCCGTGACGTTTTCTCAACAGCTGCGATCAACGTGACCGAGAAGAACAACTTTGGGTCCAACACGATGTCGCTGACCAACATCGCCGTGAACCAGGGTCTAGCAGTCAGGATCCCAGCCAAGATTTCCCTGGCAAGAATTGGTCTGATAACAAGAGCCATCAAGCTCTCACCTGCTGTCCGCATGACCAATTTGGATCCACAACAGTTCCACGAAGAGACTCACCAACATGACATGGAGGTGCCAACAGAGCTTCATCAAGCCATGGTTGATCAACAGACTTGCCAACTGCGTGGCATCATGGGTTCAACATTGCCCAACTTCCACAAGATGATTTTGTCAAAGATCCAAACAGGAGCTGTCACAACAGCCTTCTATCACGCAACAGCAGGACACGTTGTGACTGACAACAAGGAGCAGGACGTTTTGACCTCAATCACGGTCAACAAAGACCAACAATTGGTTCGACTTGGCAACAAGACCGTGAACCTGTTCAACAGGGCATACATCATACCCCAACTCCAAGTGCGGAATGTGGATCAACGTGGAGATTCAAAACAGATGAGATTTCCTCGACGCAACATTGGACACTGATGTCCAGCAATGACCAGGCAGTTATGGCAAAGATTGGTGCAACTCTGTCATCGTTTAACAGCTTCCTTTGGACCTACAACTACGTGTTCCCAACAGCTGTGGTCACCAACAGTGACAGTGACCATTGGCAAGCTCTACTACACGCAGTTGAGTATGGTGGAGCTACACGTCTAAACAGACTCCCCCAACAAGAAGGACAATGTCTATGGAATCTGATCACTGACAACATGCACCACCATGCCTCGAAACAACTCAGTCTAGCAGGAGCAAAGACAACAGAACGTCTTCGGGGCAACGACGAGAGATTTGCAACTGGTTGTACAACACGTTCAACTGGGAAAGTTACATGGAGGCCTTCAACAACTACCATCAGCATGTCGAACATGGAAGAGAACGACATCGAAGAGCAACAGGTCGAGGAGTCTCAACTCTAACAATCAATAAAGATGGCAGAGTGAGACAGCAGCTGAGAACAGCCAGCATGGAGGAAGCTGACCTCCTTGAAAGTGCCAACAGGCACTAAACATCAGCAGAGCCTGAGGAGATGGCTAACAACTGAGTGACTAGACCAACATTTGCATACTGGCTCTCAACATCCTAGCCAGACAACAGATTTAGTCCGTTCAACAGTATGTAAAGTGCACAGGTTGGAATGACCAACTATACAACAATTTCATATATAGTTACGGTTCAACATGTAAATAGTGATGAAATGGTGTGCATCAGTGTGCAACACCAATCCAAGAGGGTGTGTTAAAAAACAACAACTTTGCACTCCCTTGACCAACATAGTTCTCCAACATGCCTTGGTATTGGTACAAAATCTCGGCCCAACATAAGGCCTTGAGTCAGCCCGGTAGCCAACTGTGAATACAACAGTGTGGCAGGACAACAACACAGCGTGTGCAACAAAAGGCATCAACAGCTGCCTTGATTTTTTCAATACATACATACATACATACATACATACATACATACATACATACATACATACATACCTACATACCTACATACATACATACATACATACCTACCTACCTACAAACATACACACATACTTCACACATACATATTTACATACTTAACTTACATTACATTACATTACATTACATACTTAACTTACATTACATTACATTACATTCATACATACATTCATACATACATACACACATACACGCATACATACATACATACATACATACATACATACATACATACATACATACATACATACATACATACATACATACATACATACGTGCGTACGTACGTACATACATACATACATACATGCAAACAAACAAAAAAATTACATCATTACATAATTACATAAATACATTTAATTACATTACATTCAACTTCAATGGGTTACAATACATTACCATACCTTACCATATCATACCGTGCATACCATACCATACCATTCCATTCCATTACATGAACGTAACATAATATAACATAACTTAACATAGCATTACATTACATTGCATTGCGTTGCACTGCATTACATTACAGTACATTACACACCATAACAAACCATAACACAACATAACATAAGAAAACAAAAAACAACATTACATAACATTAAAAAACAACATACCAGAACAGAACAGACCAGAACAGAACAGAACACCACATACATACATACATACATACATACATACATACATACATACATACATACATACATACATACATACATTACAATACAATACAATACAATACATTACATAACATAACATAACAGACACACACACACATACATGCATGCATGCATGCATACATACATACATTCATACATACATACATACCTACATACCTACCTACCTACCTACCTACCTACATACATACATACATACAGACACACACACACATACGTACATACATACATGCATGCATGCATACATACATACGTACATGCATTACATGTGAATATATATATATATACGCGCTTTCAATATATGTAAATATAAATATAATAGAGGGAGAGAGAGAGAGAGGGAGAGAGTCACAGTGTTACATTGGTCAGAGCTGCTCGTTTGACGTTTTCATGCCTCTGGGCATCAGGCTTGATTTCAATCACACGGTCATCTGCAAGGAACTTTTCAAGATAGTCGCGCGCATCACCGACCTACCACCAACATGGCCAATGTATGTCTTGTTCCTGTGAGTTTTTTTGGCTTTATGATGCTTTACGCATTTTAAATTTTGTGAAAAACCTTTGGAGATGGTACTGGTTACATTCATCCCGTCGTGCTGTCCAGAACCTTGAAAGCCCTGAGAATCCAATGGCAGAGACTGCATGAAAATTCTACGCTCGATAGCATGGATTGCGTACCAACTGCAGGGCGGAGATGTTGAATGTATACAACTGTAAATAACTTTTGCGAGACAAACTTGCTTGTTCGGGTTTTGTTTGGCTCCCAAGAAAAAATAACGATTATATCTGTTGGGGGGTACAATGGGGTACAGTCTTTGAGCGCAAATGAATAGAACAACAAAAACCTGATGAATTGCGTGACCCTCCCTGGGTCCAACGGCTCAACTGGGTCAACATTGCCCCATTTGAAGCTTTAAACATCTTTAAAATGTGTGCCTGGAGGGTTTGGTGGTTCTTTGGTGGTTCTAAACGGACGCATTTTTGTCGATTCAAAACCGTGGCCTTGCCTCGGTGGAGGCTGGTGTGCCAATGTTCAGGAGCAAGACCTCAAAGTGCAACAAAGTGCAA